AAGTGGTGCTTCAGGTTAAGAACAGTTTCAGGTTAAAAACGGACCTCTGGAACGAATTAAGTACTTAACCCGAGGTACCACTGTATTTAAAAATTTAGTTTCTTTGTTTAAAACATTTAGATACCGCCATTACCCTAAAGATACTCAGGGTGGGTAACAATATGATAAAATAAAATACATATGTATAACACAACAAAAACAGAGGATTACACCCATATACCCGAGTCTTTCAGCTGAGTGTCAGTGATTCCTCAATGCCAAGTTCCTATAGTTTGTGGGGATGTTTTAACCAAGCAAGGAAGGTGCCAGTCATATTCCAGGGGAAATTCCAGTTCTGAGGTGCCACAAAGAAACCCACCCAAGGTATGAAACCCAGCAGAAGGACATTCAGGGAGCCTCCCCTGCAGATCGTAACTCCTGGACAGCAACATACAGGGTGAGGCATGCTTTTAAGTATTTAGGCCCTAACTGAAGCAGCTCACTGGGTAGGGTGGAAGCAGGGTTGTCAGGTCAGGCGTACCCCATATTCTGAGATGGAGTGAAAGCAACAACAGCAAATGCCAATCATATTTGCTGGATTGATTTCCCTTCCTGACATGGGTTGAATAAGAAGACACTTCCTATTTCCATTTCCGTTCCTATCATAATTCTCCAACATCCTTATCTGTGAATCAGAACAATTTGCAACCCCTTAGATTAGTCAGTGCAGTTCAACACAGTTCAACAACATCTATGAAAGTGAGGTGGGTATGTTGCCCATTCAAATGCAAAAACAAGCAAATAGCATTTCAGCCTTGCAACGCATGGCACGACAGGATTGTTGTTTTAAAAAAGCACGTGTGATACCAGTGTTGACGCATATACAAGGATATGTGCACGTAAAACTTGCAGTATTCATCATGTGTAAAAATATATATTTTGAGAGTGTTGATGACGAACCTCACAAGACAAGGGGAGGTAATGATGGGCAAAGAAGTGTGAAAAGGGAGTGCTCCCTCCCTCCCAGTAACCACACATAGGACAGGGCTGTTCAACAGAGATTAGAGGGTCAATCATCTTCTTTGGCTACAAAGATAGGAATCCTTTCTTTTTTTGCATTGCCACAAAGTCTGAAGCTTTCAGCATGCTTTGAGAGCGCCGAGTTGTATTAAACGGTAGACTGAGAGAGGGAAGGAGAAGAAAAAGCCCTCTGAAGAATTGGTGCTTAATTACAACTTAATTAGCATAATTATGCATGCTAATAGCATCTCAAATGAATAACAGTTGTCAGGAGGTTGGGACCATCTGTAAGAGTGTTGGATTAATACATCATTTTTTATTTCTAACAACGCTGTAACCCTTTGCCTGAAAGTGATTTTCATTAATCAAGTTCATTTTTATTATATAGAAAATTTGGCATTTTTCATTATGGGCCATTATCTTTTCCCCCATGTAGTCCTAATACAATACTAATGAGACCCCATGTGGCTACTCCAGGCTGACAATGGTAGTACAGGTGTATTATTATAATTGTTACAAACAGCATGTTGTACCTCGGGCCTAGTAGAGTTCTCGTCCCAAGGTACCCGGGTTTCTGGTTGGCATCATCCCTAGGGCTCAGCAGAGTTTCCAGGGCTTTATAAAACACACACACATGTTTGTGATCACGGGGAGGGAGATTTAAAGAGACAGAGCTGTGTTTGTTTTCAAGATGGCTAACTTGGAAGCTTTCGCATGCAGCTTTTCAGAATGCCCACCACTATTCTGCCCTCAAACGCTGGGCTCAGGAGAAATTGTATGTGCTCTTCTCAAGGGATTTTGCGGGGAAAGGGATGGTGCAATGGCAGGGCTATTTTAATGACACCAATATTTATTTCATGAAGACTTGGGCGGAACAAATAGTCTGAACATTGCTCACTGCAACATGTCAGCTTAAGCGGAGGGGACATTGTGGTATCGGATGCCTCAGAGTAGTAAGATGTGTGGCAAACAAATAATGACAGTGTATGGTAAGATTTCCAAATCGAATATGATAGGAAATCTGGTATTTATTTGACAGGGATCAGACAGCTGATTTCGATTTTCTGTGGAGCTGCCCAGAATTCGAGAGCAAATGTATTTACAACTTTTGGAAAAACAGCTGTCCTAGTCTGTTGCTGTTAAAACAAAACACAAGTCTCCTTGCACCATAAGGATCAACAAATTGCTCATGGCAAAAGCTTTCAGAGTCAAGTTCATCAGAAGGAGGAACTGCGACTTGGTGGTAGAGCACATGCTTTTACATGCAACAGGGTCCCAGATTCAATCCCTGTCACAGCTAGTAAAAAATAATATCAGATAGCAGGTGAAGGAGCTGTGCTGGAGAGCAGCTCCCAGCCAGACTAGCCAATGCTAGGAAATGATGAATCATGTTCTTTCTGTTCTACATATTACCATTGCAGGCATCTTCCCACCGCATAAGTAAGCTTTGATCAACACAGATATTGTGTGTTATTTTTTGTTTATAGCCAGTTTCCAGATATTGTAAGTGTTTTCGTTTGGGGACAACACATATGGGGCTGTAGTTAGAGAAATTAATAGCACTTTTATTTATTAGCAATTTAAATATAGATAGGTAGTCGAAGTTATGCCACAAGTTCAATAAATCCTTTTCTTCTTTGGTATTTCCGATCCAATTTTATCCCAAAATCTCTTAATTTGGGGGCACTCCTACCAAAGCCTTAAAAAATATTGAGTTATTTTAGTACCTAGAGAAAAATGGATCGTAGATGACATCTAATATCCATCATCCCCTCCCCTCTACTATCTTAGAAGAGGAATCACCCATTCTCTCACACACATAGAATCATAGATGAGAGGATGCCTCTTCTAAGATGGAGTTTGAATGTGAATCATCTAAAATTTATTTAATTAGATGACAGCCCTAGAATTCTGACATTGGCAGCCCAATGAAAAGCAGTCCCACTGGTGTGGTCCTGCATGTGGAAATAAGTTTCCTCCTGCTTTTGAATTGGCTCTTAATTTATTTAAAAGGGTTGTTTAGGCTTTTAATTGGCCCATAATGATAAACTGATAGCAAGTTAGATTTCCATCAACTTACTCATGAATTGCCAGTATTTTAGTAATAAATTGCCAGCTAATAAACTTCTTGTAGCTTGCCTTTGTAAATGCCAACGTAAAGGCCTAAACACTCCTCGTTGAGTTAATTACACATTTAGTGCTTGTGTAATTTTGAATTAATTGCAGACCAAATGGATTTATGGTTCATGTACTTAATAAGCCTTGTCAAGTGCCCTTTTAACAATCCATTGGTATTTAGGATCCTGGCGATTTTATTATTGAAGAACAACCAACATTGTTCATGGGTCAGGATCCTTTCCCCCCGACAAGCTATTCATGTGTCCGGAGAATAAACATATTGTGTATAACCAGGATCGGCTTATGTCGTGGGGCCAAGCCATAGCAATTGCCTCCTGGTCGTGGTGTCTCGGCCACATACCAGGCGGGGCAAGGCAGAAACAAGATCAGGGCCAAGTTGACACACAAGTGGCATCACCTGGTTGACTCTACCAATGTGTCCATGCAATGCCAGCCTTGCCGCCGCTTTCCTTCCAGTATGTTGGAGTGACTTTGCTCTTGGGAAGCTGATGCTGTAGCTCTGCCCCACCAGATTATGGTGTCCAAATGCGTAGTGAATGACTTTCCAAAATAATGAGTAGATGAGTTGGACAAATTTGTATTCTGAACCATGCCATTGCAAACTGGGTGATGGTCTCTGCTAAGCATCAGGAAAAGAAGAGTGTTCTCTGGTCTTTGGTGTTACATCGGTTTTGTGCAACTCCCTCTGTCCTCCCAAGGTACATTTTTGTCCTGGTTTTCTGAAACAAGAGCATTAAAAAATAATATGACAGGTTTTCATAATGAATAGAACAGAGTTTTAAGCAGGCCCTATGGAAACCCAAATGTGATGCATCTACATCAACCCTTCTCTAAAAATATAATCATACTCTCCTCCCTTGCTGATTCTGTCACCTTTTGAAAACCATTTTAGTTTCATAGAAGTCTTAAGTACTGACTCTAACTCTGTAGACTTCTGCAGAAAACATATGCAATATGTATGTATCACAGACCAAGCAATCATGCATTTCAGGGAGAAGATGACGGTCAAATTGCAGTAGCAGCAGAATATCTTTTGTGCAGGAAATACCCTTTCAGCTTGGAATAGCAAGCTGGTGCCCTCTGTACAAGAAGAGAAAGGCTGAATGGCTGGGGAGTACAAAGGTAGGTCAGGGTGATGGGGAAAGGGCAAGAGTAAAATGAAAAAGGAGATCCTTGGGGGGCTGAAATGGAGTTTGACGCAAAGCAGAACCGCCTAAGTCCCCCACTCATATAAGTTGCTCAGCTGTCTGATTTCCCTTGTTGTTGAGAGGTCGGAAAGGTAAATTTACAAGCCATACATAACAGATGTTGGCCTGTTGCTAAAAGATGTTTCTTTTTTGGTGTGTGTGTGTCTGTCTTCTGGTGTAAGCCATTTATTCCACATTTACAAATGCACCAAGTCAGGAATAGCCATTGGAAAAGAATAGCAGTTCTCTTCCTGGGTTAAATGCCTTCATGTAGCAGTGTTTATTTTGTGAGTCTGCAAATTTTTGCTCTGGGCTGAAAGTTTATTAATTCTGAGTTGGGTTTGAAGTGAAAGAGGAGGGGAAACTGTTTCCCCCACTTTCAAATTTTGGGAAGAGGGTTGCAAGGGTTGGGGCAGCGAGCAAAATTCAGAATAATACTGCCTGGCTGGCACCTATCATTCCCACCACCCAGAATAACCATTGTATGTACATGGTATGTATTTCATAAATTTATTAATTGTTTTCCATCCCAAAGCAATGAAAACATCAATAATAAAAGTGTATTTAAAAGCAATTTCAGGTCCAAGTTAGACAACGCTTGCAGATTTTTCAAATGTTAAGTGGTAGATAATAGGTCATAGAACTGTAAGTTGGATGGGACCTTGAGGGTCATCTAGTCCAACCCCCTGCAGTGCAGGGCTCAAACCAACAACACTGAGATTAAGAGTCTCAAGCTCTGCCAACTGTGCTGTAGCTTGTGGACAATAAAAAGGTAAAGGTAAAGGACCCCTGACAGTTAAGTCCAGTTGTGGACGACTCTGGGGTTGCTGCGCTCATCTCGCTTTACTGGCCGAGGGAGCCGACGTTTGTCCGCAAACAGTTTTTCTGGGTCATGTGGCCAGCTTCTGGCGAACCAGAGCAGCGTACGGAAACGCCGTTTACCTTCCCGCCAGAGTGGTACCTATTTATCTACTTGCACTTTGACATGCTTTCGAACTGCTAGGTGGGCAGGAGCTGGGACTGAGCAGCGGGAGCTGACCCCGCCGCGGGAATTCGAACCGCCGACCTTCCAATTGGCAAGCCCTAGGCCCAGTGGTTTACACCACAGCACCACCCGTGTCCTTGTGGACAATAGCTGCTTTTAAATACATACATACATTCAGAATAAAGATCTCCACTTATACGGTTTGTTGGGAAAGGAAAGTCTTCAATGGGCACAGAAAATATAATAGAGATGGTGATTGCCTGATATTTAGCAGGAGGGAGTTCTGCCATAGGTAAATACCCAGTTTCCACATTGTATGGAATGTACTCCCTGATGAAACGACATCTGCAGGGGGATCTCTGCTGAAGAGCACAGTGATTGGGTATATAAAGGAGGGGATATAAAGGGTGGGAAAATCTTTTAGGCATCCTGGTCCCAGGCTGTATAAGGTTTTGTACACTAGTACCAGCAGAGCTGGCCCACACATGAGGCAAGGTGAGGCGACTGCCTCAGGTAGCTGGATCCATTGGGACAGCAGTTCCTGATGTCAAACTTTCTTCCCCCCACCTTGTTCCTGATGTAGATCATCCCTCACTGCTTCTGGGATGCCATTTTGGGGTCCACCTCAGGTGCTAAAATGTTTGGGGCCGGCTCTGAGTACCAGCATCTTGAATTTACTTAATTTGCTGCCAGTGCAATTGTTTCAGCAATGGCGTAGCGTGGTGGTGATATATGCCCAGTCTGCATCAACTGCAGTTTCCAGGTCAATCTCAGGGGCAGCCTAAATGTTAGCACTTAGTAAGAATAAGTTCTGCCTCTCTGCTTTATTGAGATCAAATAATTGTTTGTAGTAACCTTGTAGATCCTGAGTGAGACTCCATGGGATTTGGGAAGATGACAGTCAGTCTGCAGGTAAGAATAGCAAGAAGTGGCTTAGCTGATTTTTATACAAAATTAGCTGCAGTGTTTTTGTTTTGTTTTTTTAAACTGCTTACAATACTTCATGGCCTGCAGAGCAGTCGCATTTCCTGTGATGGAAAAATAAAACACTTTTCATCATCTCCCAAACTCACCCATACGTTTCTTTTAATTTCTGAAGAGATAGAAAAAAAGAAGTAGTAAAGACAAAGAATGAAGGGAGAAAGAAGATAACATGAAAGACTATGCTGGCTGAGAAAATGACAGAAAAGAGGTGAGGGAATTGAGAGAGGTGGTTGAAATAATGTAAAAGTGGCAAAACTGCAAGACAGAGGAGGAGAAAAAGAGGGGGAGGGAGGGTATCTCATAGTCACAGTTTAAATCCTACATTTTCTACAAATGCATCTGTGTTCAGTGCAGTTCACTTAAAATAGTCTAAGTACAGTAGCACAGCATTCCATGAAAAATGGGTTATAAATTTTAAAATAAATACAAGTTACAACCTAACAGTACAAAAATAAACTATGAGCTATACCTACAGTTGATGCATTCTGCCATGTTGGATGGCAGATACAAATGGGTTCCTGTTTCCCAGGGGCTCTGCATCTGTTCTCTGAATCAGATGGAGAATATAATATGTTATGTACCAAAATATCCCTTATATGAAGGGCCAAAGAAGAAGAAGAAGAAGAAGAGTTTGGATTTAATATCCCGCCTTTCACTCCCTTTAAGGAGTCTCAAAGCGGCTAACATTCTCCTTTCCCTTCCTCCCCCACAACAAACACTCTGTGAGGTGAGTGGGGCTGAGAGACTTCAAAGAAGTGTGACTAGCCCAAGGTCACCCAGCAGCTGCAGGTGGAGGAGTGGGGAATCGAACCCAGTTCCCCAGATTAGGAGACTACCGCTCTTAACCACTACACCACACTGGCTCTGGTGGGGAATATCTTAGAAATCCTAGAAATCCTCTAGTTTGAATTAACAACCTCTTCAGATCAGGAAACAATTTGTTATTTTACTGCAAGAATCTGACCCTTTTGTGACTTGCAGAACAGCCTTGTTTGTTTTAGCTTCAAGGAAACTTTAGGCAAAAGAAATGGAAAGTATCACAGTTAGATAGTCCTTGATTTAATAACACATATATTTATTTTTTAGGACTTTATTGTACTGCATAAATTAAATTTTTATATAGAATATTTATGATAAAAATATTCTGTATAGTAGACTTTATTGCCTCCTTTTGTAATGGCAATTTTATCTGGAAATTGTCAAAGCCAATAGCTAGCACAATAAAGTGGTTGATGAGGAACTGTGATGGATTGTGTGTGCTTCGAAAACTGCCTCCAGGTGGAGAAGAAAATAGGTGTGAGCATCACTGGCCTCTGTGATTGACAGATAGTATTATTATTAGTAGTAGTATTATTATTATTTATTATTTATACCTCACCCATCTGGCTGGGTTTCCCCAGCCACTCTGGTGGCTTCCAACAAAAGATAAAAAATATATTAAAAGTATGAAGTCTTTGGATTGACTAGGTATAAATATAGCTGCTTGGCCTCCTATCTTTGTTTGGTCAGAAGAGTGGTGCATTCTGGCCCTGAACTGAAAATCCCCGTATATCCCTGATTTTGGGGGTGATGGTGGTGTGGTGCTGCTGAAGAAGGCTCAAATTTCTTAAAGGACTTGTGGTGGGGGAACAGCGCAGCATCATTCTGGCCAACGCCAGCCGTTCCATTAGGAAGATGGTGGAATCTTTTTTAAAAAAATAAACAACAACGACTAAGAACTCCTTTTTCACAATCTACAATTGCACTTAACATTCTCGCTCATATCTGCCCCCCCCCCCAATGCCTTGGGCACAGTGTCATCCTGGGGCATTCTGGAGAAAATAAGGCAGAGATGTATGCCATTTTCTATCTGGAATTCTCCAAAACAGCACAGTGCATTGTGGGGAAAATAATGGTGATTGCTAAACTGGAGCTCCTCGTTGTTGTAAAAATGGAAAGCAAAATGTTGCTCCAGCGCCACAGGGCAACCTGGGTTTTTCACCTCCATTCATCTGTAAAGACCATCGGATAGTCAACCTCACAGACATGTCGCAAAGATGTAAGTGAGTATATATAACTTTCAAACACTGCAGAATATAAATACCCCCACAACACACACACACACACACACACACACACACACACACTTGATGCCATACTCAATAAAGTGAGGATGTGGAACTGAAACTTGCCCCTCAGTTGGGCATAGCCGCAGAAGGGCTGTAACTCACTGGGAGAGCATCTGCTTCATATGCAAATGGTCAATCACCAGCATCTCTAGGTAGGGCTGGGAGAGGCCTCTGCCTGAAATGCTGGAGAGCCACTGCTAGTCAGTGAAGACAGTACCAAGGTAGATGTACTAATGGTGTGATTCATTCCAAGGCACCATCCCATGCTGCCATGATATATTTCTCCTCATTTAGAGACTGCTCTTGAAGGGTCTTTCTCAACTGTGGCTTCCAGAATGCTGGCAGCTTTCATGCTCCTTCCAAGCCACATGGATTTGTTCCACCACATGTCAGAAGCCTGTGGTGACATCACCTGGGGCTTCAAGGCCCATCACAAGGACTCTCTTACTCATCATGGTGTAGCTCACATTGCCAGCATCAGCCAGGTATGTTCTGAACCCATCACACATGTGTGTGTCTAAGGTGGGAGAGGATGGCTGCATTAGTTTTACTTCCTTTATGGGCCAAATCAATAAGCAAACAAACAGTAATTCCCCCATAAATCACAAAAAAGTGTTTGATGGCCTTTGATGAGTTTGAATAAAATGAAGCCTTGATTTTTAAATTTTATTTTAGAATTCTGTGTGAACAGTGAAATCAGCAAGCTAATCCAACAACCCAACTTTGACTAGGATAAATAAAAATAACTATGTAATCCCCTATTTCTTAGGACAACACTGTGCTGCTGGGAAATCAGCAAAGCAGTGAGTGTCATAAGAGCTGTAAGAAGTACCTGGTTCACTTGTTTCATAAAGATTTACTGCATTTACAGGCTAAATCTCCATAAGCCATAGAGAGCTTTTAAGACAATTATACTGCAGTGTCCTCTTTCTGCAACAGGCACTGCCATAATCTCACTAAACAGCATTGGAAGAGCAGGCTTGTTAATTAACCTGCAGCATTTGCCTTTCATTCATAGTAAGTTACACATTTGTAAAGAGAGAGAGAGAGAGAGAGAGAGAGAGAGAGAGAGAGAGAGATAAATAAAACATGTTGCTGTTTTTCCTGGGTCTAGTACTTTGTTTCTAAAACATTCCAGGATGTTTATTTTATTCTATTTATACAGGCAAATATACTTCATCTTTCTAATGCATACACATTTAACAGGGTGGTTTGTTAACCAACTCCCCTTTGGGCCAGGCTGGGGAGCACATTAGATTGGGCAGAGGTGTCCCTCCACTCAGCTTTGCCAGCCTTCATCAGCCCCCCACTGGTTACCATAAGAGATGAGGTGCCAGTGTCATACCATAGGTACAGAGCTTCCCCTCCTGCCCACCAAATGGCCAGATGGAAGTGCAGGCAGCAGAAAGGTTTTTAAAGAAGCGGTGTGATAACCGCCTCTTTCAGTGGGTCTGGGAAGGCTTCCTCACAGAGAGAAGCATTCAGCACCCCACGAAGCCCGTCGCCCAGCCCTTCCCCGCTAGCTTTTATAAGCCAGGATGAGCAAGGATCAAGGAGACAGGTGGTTGGTTTCACTCATCCAAGCAGCCTGTCCACATTCTCAGAGGTAACAGATTGGAATTGATCCCACAAAACTTGACTAGACAGGACTCTAGCACTTTCCCGCCCCGGCCCTGCTCCCACGGT